ATCAGATCTCAGAAGTTAAGTACTTGGATGGGAGACCTCCTTGGAACACCAGCAGTCAGGAGGACAGAGGCAGGCTTTATTCAGCCACCTCTCTGAATACCCTCCAGGCACCCAGTAGGGGTCAGTCACCAGAGGTCGCCATGACTTCCAGGTGCACTCACAGGCAGTCACCAAAAGTCACCATGACTTCCAGGCTTCTAATGTCCTGGCCCCACTGGTGGACCTCCTGATGGCACCTGGTATTTCTGGCCACTGTGTGACACAGAGTGTTGGACTGGATGGGCCTTTGGCCTGATCCAACATTGGTGTCTCTTATGTTCTTATGTGTGTGCACACACACCAAAAAAGAAAAAAAAACAACCCAGGAAAAATACTACAAAAGAATTCCATAATGGTCCCTTAGTTTGGTTTTGGCTTGACTGATGCTTATGCCCTTTGAGCCTCTAGCCACCCATGGTTTGACTTTCTCGTCTAAGAAAGTGGCATTTTTAGTAGCTATAACTTCTGCCAGAAGAGTCACTTCTAAACTGGATGTTACTCATTGTTGGCCCAGTTTCGTGTAAAGCAATACAGGGATGAGGGTCTCAAACAGTGAATTTCCTTCCTTTAATGAACTGTCTCTGAAGGGCTATGGTCATTTCAAACAGTGCTGCTTTCTTCCTGCCCTTTTTGGCTATGCGATCTTCCTCTGCTTTTTTTAAAAAAAGTTCTAAATTGAGTGTTATAGTGCTAAACCAATATAGCCCTTCAGTGCTATAGCGGCACTGAAAAGTCCAAGGAAGATAACACAATGAAAAAGGGTGGGGGGAAAGGAACATTGTAGGAAGCGCTATGGACATTTTAAACAGCATACCACAGTGATTCAGAAGTGCAAGAAAGGGGTAGAAAATGGAAGAAAGCCGTTTCCCTCAAAAGTGGTTCACCCACGCTTTGCTAACCTGACACAAGTGGGTTTGTATGAACAGGTAAATAATCTCCACCAGCAGCTGGTTACTAAAATGGGTATGTCTGAAATGACAGGAAAAAAATCATTAGCAACCAGTTATTAAAACGGAATACAAAGGCAGTTTGAAAAGGGCCAGTGAGTTAGCTGCACTGCATTTTGATTCCCCATTTTTAAAGCTTCATGAAAGGAAAGTACTACTACACCCAAGTTCAGAATTTTTGCCTAAAGTGGTTTCTAGTTTTCACTTGTCACAAGATATTACACTCCCTGTTTTTCCCCCACCCTACTTCAGATGTGGAAAGGTCATTACATACATTAGACCTTAAGAGAGCAAGCTTATTCTATTTGAAAAGAACCAACTAGTTTAATAAAGATCCACATCTCTTTGTTTGTAATGCTGGCACCAGAAAGGGTGAAGTAGTGTGGTCTCAAACGCTGTCAAGACGGATCATTGCTGCAGTTAAACTGTGTTATGATCAAACTAGCAGTAAAGCTCGTTTCTTTCCTCAAGGGCCCAAGCATCTTCTGCAGCCTTCCTCCAGAGAGTCTCCATCCGAGGCATAGGCAAAGCCACTACCTGGTCATCTTTTGATACTTTCATCAGACATTATTCTGTGGATATCAACACACGACGAGAGTCGTCTGTGGGAAGAGCAGTACTTCATTCCTTATTTTGATGAGAGCTCTACCCCACTCCTTGGTGAGTAGCTTATTAGACTCCCAATGTGGGACCGCACAGAAGATAAAAAAACAGGGTAGCATTTACCTGTAAATGTTGTTCATCCACTTGTCTTCTACACAGACATATATTCTCTCCCTCCTGGCCTGCTGCAAGGTCTCTTATCTGCATGTCTGGATTGGGGGTCTACAGCGTTTCGGGAGCAACTGAGGGAAGGGGGCACTGGTCCCTCAGAGCACATGACTGGGCGGGAAACAGCTCTCAGTGCACTCTGGGGGGGAGTTATGACAAACTCTCACATTCTGCCTGGATTATATAAATTTGCACAGGACTTTTGTAAGTCACTTCCCAATCAAGGGCAGTGCTGATGTTTATATCAACATCAAAGGAGAGGAATGGCAGAAGCAGCTGAGGCCCTGTCTTTCTGTGCTCCTTCAAATTTTCTTCCATTTGCCAATCTCTTGGTGACTCTCTGCCATTTCTCAAACCTATTCCTGCTGAGATTTTAAAAATTCCAGTGGTATAGTGGTTAGGAGTGCGGACTCTAATCTGGCAGAACTGGGTTTGATTCCCCACTCCTCCACATGCAGCTGTTGGTGTGACCTTGGGTCAGTCATAAGTTCTTTCAGAGCTGTTCTCTCAAGGGCAGTTCTCGAGAGAGCTTTCTCAGCCCCACCTACCTCACAAGGTGTCTGTTGTGGGGAGGGGGAGGGGGAGGGATTGTAAGCCGCTCTGAAACTCCTTCAGGTAGTTAAGGGCTGGGTATAAACCCAATCTCCTTCTTCTCTATATGAAATTATGTTTTTATATTCCTGTAGTCAGTCTTTCTAGTACTGAATTACAGGGGGAGCTGTACTGGGTGGATTCTAGTGGGTTCTAGTACTGTAGTCGGTTCTAGTACAGCTTTGCTTTTCCAGAACCACATTGACTTTCTGGAGGATGGTTTGTTTAAATGGTCTGTGGGAATAGAGATAGCTCTGTGATATCAGGTACCCTTGACATTCCTTCATGGTGCTTACATAACTGAAGCCTGGAATAATCAACAGGTGACCTTCAGGCCAGGTCAAACTCCTGAAATAATTGCATGTGGTCTGTAGAAGTTCCTACCAAAGTTTAATCAAAGTATCTTTTTTTTACTTTCACAATTCCATATGTAAGAAAAAAGAAAATGGGTCCCTAGGTGTCGTTTGGGCCCAGGCTCAATGACTCCCCCGTAAAATCTGATGCCATTACTGGAAACAGGAAGGTGGAGTGGATGGAGCACATTGGTCTGATCCAGCATGGCTACACTTGTGTACATATTATACTGAATTGCTTTCTTATGTACAGTGGGGGGTGGAATGAAGTGATCTGTCCTCCTAAGGGGATCGTGCAGCATGCCTATTCTCCAGCTTTCCTCCTCCTCTCCTCTAGACCCCGATGATCTCTAATCATTCACGCTCTTATGCTCCGTATCTGTCAAGTCCCGACTTCTACGTAATACCTACTTGATTACAAAATCTGCCTGACCATCCATGAGAGAGGCTACTAGTTCCTGCCTTTGGATCAGGTTTTGGAGTATAGAGGAGCTCCCAAGATTACAGAAGCCGGTCATCCTTGATGTACATCAGCTCTTCTACTTATAAACAGATAAATCAAGCAACTAAGGGGAGAAACACTTCATCCTGAAAGCCTTTTATGCAGCCTTATAGTTTGAATGGTGTCTCTGGGAGTAATTAGCTGATGGGGAAATTCAAAAAGGAGATGGAACAGCAACTTTTCACATACCATGCATAGGCGGAGGGGGCTTGTTATTCTCATAATTCTTCCTACTGGAGGATGTCCCTATTGTTCCTGACAGTTGCCGGCCATGACCTGTTGGGGGGTTCTCAAAGAGCTGTCCTCTTCCCCCGCCCCACAGCAGCAGATAAGTGTTTTGATATATTAGATGGATGGAACTCGTACAGCCTCAGAAATCCTGCTGATACATAATGCCTTTAAGATCCTGCCTTTCCCATCCTAATCTACAGAGGAAACAGGAAAAAGGAACTTAAAACTCCCTGGGCTCAGACAGCCACAGAAACTGTTCTAGCCCACTCCAGTGTTAACAGCTAACTTGTCGTTCCCTGGTGATGGTATTGCATTGCCATACAATACAAACAAAGTGCCTCAGCGAAGGGTTACCCCACTGAACGGTCCTCTGTTACTCCACAGGCTGCTGCGCAAACTGGATGGATATACTTGGCAAACCGTGGACTTTTTTACTGTTTTTAACGCTCTGTGGATTCAGTCTCATGCTATCAGGTAAGGATTCCTTTAGTTATTCGGGAGCATCATGGTGTATACATTAACTCTGCAATGCTGTGAAGGATCAGATTCCCAAATCCTGACCCTGTATTCATTCTGCGATTATTTAGCCATTTTAAACCAGAAAAGTCTTTCTGGCGCAATATTATTGCAAAAGGTGGTTTTGCTCAATTGACCTTCACATCACCGTTTGAGAATTTGATTGGATGTGTGCAGATAACTTTGCAAATACTACGTTGGGTCAAGGGTACATATGGGTCAGTGTACATTGTTGTATTACTTGTTTCTGTACTGGTGACAAGTATCAGGTCTGTTGGCTAGAAAATGTATAAAGAGATGTGATATACGTTTGATATCAGTTTATTGTTTTACATATCACTGTGGCTCTTCCAGTTCGCAGCATCTTGGTGCTAACACTGTGCAAAAAGGCATTTTATATGAATGATTGCATCACAAATGGCTTCAACTAAGTAGTCGAGCAGAGTGATAATGGCTGCAATCCTAAGCACACTTACTAGGGAGTAAGTCCATTGGACTCAGCGGGATTTATTTATTAGAATACTTACTTAGGATGGCACTGAGTGTTAAACAGAGATAATAATAAAGTACAACAGAACAAAATTTGAGTCCAGGGGCACCCTTAAGACCCACAAAGTTTTATTCAAAGTATAGGCTTTTGTGTGCACGCACGCTTCTGCAGATACGTATCTGGAAAAGTGTGCATGCACACAAAGCTTATCCCTTGAATAAAACTTTGTGGGTCTTAAAGGTGCCACTGGACTCGAATTTTGTTCTGTTGCTTCAGACCAACAGGGCTGCCCACCTGAATAAAGTACAACGTTTATAATAAAGTGCTAATAAATTAAAGGCAAGCTCTTAGTAGTCAAGGCCACACAAAATAAGAATGCTTATCTCCTTGTGTCTTTTGCTTCAGTATATTCTTATCACACATATGGCTTATTCTCTCCCTCTTTCTTTCCCTTATTTTTGGGAAGCCTTTACTGGAAAATACTGCTAGATATGTCAGACCATTATCACTCACTCAACCTTCATTGTCCATCTGTAGAATGGGAGTAAGAGTGACAAGATGTTTGTGAGGGTAAATTAGATAACAATTGGGAAGACATCTGCACATATTGTCATCTAATTCTGTCTATACTGATATACTGACATGACCATTCTCATGTTCATATATCTCTGGCATAACTTCTGGTGGTAGCCCTTTTATGTGCAGGTTCAGAACATCTTATGATAGTTATCAAAAAAACTATATAGAAGCCTAGATGTCAGCCCCACCCAAACATCTTTCCACCATAGAAGCTTAGCATTTATATTGGATTCTGTATTGGAATCTGTATCCGGTCTATATCGGATTGGATAATATCATCACTACATAAACTTTTTTGAGCTGCAAAGGATAAAGGAAATACCATGAGATAAAGGATTCTAAAATATTAGGGTTTTCAGGTGATCTGCTGAATAACTGTTCAACTATTATGATAGTATTATGTGTAAATATCTGTGCAATGGATACAATACACCTGCCCCTAATTAACCACACTTAAAAACCCATTGGGATCAGATGGTTTAAACAAGGGTAACTTTTTAATATACTTACATTATAACATGCTGGACAATCTTTACATTGTGCGTGATGACAAAATATGTTACGTCTGGAGAGGGGAGCCAGAATCTGCAGAGGCCTTAGATGTATACGGGTTAAAAGTGTACTTGTTGCTACTAAGATCTATAGGTTAGAAAGAAAGATCACATAATGCCTTGTGCTCTTTGTATATTACAATTATAATCTGTGGCAATTGGGGATGGCTAGTCATCGGCATACAGAAAATAAAATTAGATCTGTTTTGAAGCTCTCTCTCTCTCTCTCTCTCTCTCTCTCTCTCTCTCTCTCTCTCTCTCTCTGTCATGACGCTTGTGAGGTGACACTGGACAAATCATTCTTGTAACCCAACATACCTCCCAAGGCTGCCATGAAGGGGATAGCTTGTAATCAACTATGAGCTCTTTGAAAGAGAGGCGAGGTTCAAATAGAATAATTATTCTGAAGTGAGCTTATTTTTGCAACTTTTCTTGATTAGAACCAGACATAACCTTTTCTCCCTCTTCTACTGTCAACGAATCTTTTGGGGTGTGGATAAAGTGTCGGAATCGTATCTGGGAGACCAGGGTTCAAATCCCCATATGCCATGGAAGCTCACTGAGTGGCCTTAGGATAGTCACAGTCTCTCAGCTTTACCTACCTCACAGGGTTGCTGTGAGGATAAAATGGAGGAGAGGAGAATGACGTAAGCCATTTTGGGTCCCCATTGGGGAGAATGTCGCAGTACAAATGAATTAAATAAATACATTTGAAGGGAGAAGCTTTCCAGGGGATAGCTTTACAGCACTTATCTCACTGATTTTGTCCTTGCAAACTCAAAAAAGTGTTTATCCTTTCAAATTATATACTGGGGGGGGAGGTAAAAGGAGAACATGGGCAGGCCCTGCGTGCATATTTTAACCCAAGTCCTGAAATGCTGCCAATCCACAAGGTTTGACTGTTTTAGGTGTGTATTGTAGTCACACCCATCTCAGTAGATCTGTCAGCTTTCCCGCTTTTGTTCAAGTGTGATATCATGTTTCCTGGGGCGAGTAGTGGAAGACAATACGAACCCGCCTTCCTCTAGATACAACAGGCGGAGTCCAGGAAAGCAGTATTGACATTCCCCGAGTAGGGGAGGCATTAAAGTCGATGCCTTTGGCAGACTTTTAAGCTCACTTAACCTTGTCCTACGTGGTGGGGGAAAGGAAAGAGGGGGATCTGTTGTGGGTGTTGCTGCTGAGAGGGCAAAAAACCCTACTCCACCCTCGTTCCAAGGTGGGGACCACACCTCTGGAATTTACACAAAATGCTTTTACTGCTTTTCCTTGTGTGACCCTCAGACGCCTCAACAATAGACAACCGTTTACCCCCAGCCCAATATGCTGCTGAAGGCAGATGTGGGCAGGTGTATGTATTCTTCTCCTTTCCTATTTAGATTTTAACACAGGGTTAAGGCAGATAATTAGGACACTTCAAAGACCAGACAGCCTTATCACCTCAGAGACAAACATGTTAGCTTTAACTATGCGTTGTGACATGAAGTATTATGACTATTATTAATAAAAGCAGACAAGAGAGTTTCTACAGGTAATCACAAATAGGGAAACCAGTGAGAAACTGAAGCCTACCACCCAAAATCTCCCTACCTGGGATACTCCAATCTCTTAGGGGACCAAGCAGGCTAATTTCTGCTCCCTCCCCATTTTCTCCTCAACTGATGTCAGCGGGTCTCAACATTCAGTCCCTTCTGGACCTTTTTCAATCCTCTTCAGGCCAGTTCTTAAAGGATCTCCCCCCCCCTTTTGATTAATTTACAAAGGTATTTTTTCCTGCATACCTGGGGTATGCTCCAAGTAGGTAGCGATCCCTACTTCTTCTGTGAGTGGGTCTGTTGTGCAGTTTCATGATCTATATAGGGACCAGTGTGGGGATCCACAAGAAATTGCAAAGGAAGGGGATCCCATTTCCCTCCCTACTTGTTCCTCCCCCTCCTTTCTGTTTCCTCGTGAACACATGACGGTGCCTTATACTGAATCAGACCCTTAGTCCTTCACAGTCAGTATTGTCTATGCACACTGGATGTGGCTCTCCAGAGTCTCAGGCAGAGGTCTTTCACATCACCTACCGCGAGAACCTTTAACTGGAGATGCTGGGGGTTGAACCTGGGACCTTCTGCATGTCACGCAGATGCTCTACCACTGAGCCATGGTCCCTCTTCCTCTCCCCCTCTCCTCCATCTCACCTTCTTGGCCTACTGCTCACCAACCTTGCCAGTTACCTTCCTCCCTCGCTTCCTCCTGCTTCTCCTCCTCCTGGCTGCTGTCCCTGCTTCCTCACCACCACCACAGATTTGAGGTGGCACTTGGGGGTGCTAAGGACTTGCAAGAACCCAGGCAACATTGGGCTGCCATAGCCATCACAACGGATGTTGTGGTGCCCACCCCCAAGATTTGGTGTGGGCCTCCAAGCAGAGGGCATTCACCTTATCCTGGCCCAGTGCCAGAATGAAGGAAATTTCTTCTTTGAATCTTGAAGTAGGTGCTTGGCCTCCATTATGGTTGCTAAAGCAACCCAAAATAGTGCCCCAAATCTGAGCAATTTGCTTTTTTTAACCACTGTGCATTTGCACACATTGCTGGTAAGTTTCTAGGGATGTTTACCCCCCACCTACTTTTAAAAAAATAAAGTAGGGCTTTTTTTGTCTAAAACCACTGTTAGTTACGGCTAACCTAGTTACATGGATTTCTCTATTTGCACAGGGTCCAGGCCTTCACAGTTCAAGATAATGATGATTTATTATGGTTCCGTATTAATGTACATGGCACTTACACTCTAATGCTTTATGGTGGAACAGAACAGGAAAAGGAGGGCTAGGAATGGTAAAGATAACAAAGTAGTACGAATGTGAGCATATGCCTTTATACTTTCTTGCAGCCTGATCTTAGGTGCGTGTTTACTCAGGGAAGGTGTCACTGAGATCACGGGGATTTTATTACGAGTAAATGTGGGAAACTGCTGCTGTCAGTCAGTGTGTAGGACATCAAGCTTGACTGCCTAAGGGTCTCACTTGGTATAAGGCAGCTTCCTGTAAGCTTTTGTTTGGCCTTCAAGACGTCTTGAAATAGAACAGGGTTCACTTTGTTGAGGTGCTATGGAGCTGAATGGAAACGTCCTGTTCTCCATGAGTTCTCCTCTGACTGATATGAAACTGTTAGTTTGTGAATGAAATCTAGATCTAGCTGAGAACAATACTGTCCTTAAAGAAGAAAACAATAAGAAAAGTGGATAAGGTTGAAATGCTGCTGGGTTTCTTATTCTCACTGCCAAGGCAGTGATAATTGGGAACGAAAGCTTGTTGGATAGCCACTGGAGTAGGCATGTTGCCATGAGAGGT